CAGCTCCTGTGGAGAGAGTGGCTCCCTGCGAGACGAAGCACCCGGAGAACCTCCAGGCGGAGCACCTCCAGGCTCAGCATCCCCAGGCCCGGCACCCCCAGGCAAAGCACCCCCAGGCGTAGCACCCCCAGGCTCAGCACCCCCAGGCTCAGTACCCCAAGGCTCAGCACCCTCAGCAGCACCAGAGTCACCAGTGACCTCGACAGGCTCGACTGCGTCTACCTGGGACACACCTGAAGGGGCAGGACCCTGAGGGGGGAGGGGGTCTACCTGGGGGGGACCTGGTACAAGGAAGAGCGGGGGCGGGGGGAGGGACAGAGTGCGGTAGGGGAAGAGGCGGTAGTAGGGGACCGACTCGTCAAACGTGACGTCCTGGGAGGACAGAACACGGCGAGAGGTGGGGTGGTAGAACTGCCACCCAGGCGCGTTAGGGGGGAACCCCAGGAAGACGTTAGGAGCAGCACGAGGGCACAGTTTGTCCACAGACAAGTCGCGGACAAACGCCCGAGATCCCCAGACCCGGAACGCCGACGCATCGCCAACCTTCCCCGTCCACAGCAAGGCTGGGGAGGTCTCCGGCCTGGAGACCCTGGGGTGAAGGTTGATGTGATGCGCCGCGTACCTCACCGCAAACGGCCACAGAAAATGGGGGGCAGCCGCATGCATCATAGACGTACGAGCGACGTCCATGACCATGCCAATGCGGCGCTCAGCAATCCCATTTTGCTGCGGAGAGTCCGGAAGCGTGAAGGTCTGACGGATGCCCCGTGCGCGACAGTAGGCTCTCATAAGGCCAGAGGAAAACTCTCCGCCTCTGTCCGAGTGTAGACGCAGAACAGGAAAGTCCGAGCCGAAGCTCTACCTGAGCTGGAGACGAGCTGCGCGGATCCAGTCGATCAGCACCTCAGTGACATCACCCTTGCTGCGCAAGGGGAAGACTGCGGTGTAACGCGAGTAGTCGTCAACAACTAGCAGGAAGTAGCGCTCGTGACCCTGTCCACGAACGCGGGCTGGGCCCCACACGTCCATGTGAATCGTCTGCAACGGGGCCTCTGTCGGAGGAAACTGGGAGGAGTGAGGGGCAGCACGCTGGCGCCCCTCGACACAGGGGACACAGGTAGGGCCAGGGCCCTGAGGAAGGGGAGGGAGGGACCGGGGGAGACCAGAAACAAGAAGACGAGAGGCCATGCCTCTAAGCCGAAGCAGAGAGGGGTGACCAAGGCGGTGGTGCCAGAGGAGAGTCTCGTGAGACAGGAGACGACACGAACAGGGGGCAGACTCAGGACCAGACCTGGACGCTGCAGCAAACACCTGACCCGACGCAGCTACCCTACCAGACTCAGTAACTGGAGGAGACGCAGTGGTCAGTGTGTACAGGCTCGACCCCGGCCGACGAGTAAACGTGGCCAGGTGTCGGCCTGTCCGAGCGTCTGTGCAGTGGGTCACCCGCTGACTCGCAGGAGTGAACTGGTGAACCCCCGCATCCTGCAGGTCAGCACCACTCACCAAGTTCGTAGAGAACGAGGGGAGGTAAAGACCAGACAGGGTGCCAGAGGGGGCCGCCGGACACGGGAGGACAGTGGAGAAGTGAGCAAGGACAGGGCCCCCAGAGGGGTCTGCCAGAGAGACTGCAACTGGCCGACCAAGCGGCGTGAGTGTGGTGCGGTCTCGAAAGAAGGAGCGGGAAGCCCCCGAGTCAAGGGTGAAGGTGTGAGAGGCCGGAGCCGACGCGGTACCTGAGAGAGCAGACTCACCCGCACCTGAGGAAGCAGACTCACTAGCACCTAGAGCAGCAGCCGCACCTGTACCTGGAGCAGGAGACACACTAGCACCCAGAGCAGCAGCCGCACCAGCAGCTAGAGCAGCAGGCTCTATACCCGGGTCAGGCGGTACGCACAGGTGACCGGCACGGTCAGCACTAGTAGGCAATGCATACATGGCAGTGAGAATAGCATCATAGTCAAGAGCAAATATATCTACCCTCTGCCTAAGCAACTCCACCCAGTCGGGGAGCTCAGCCTCGTCGCCAAACTCGGTACGCCAGGCGTCGTTCAGACGGGCGAAGCAGCGGGACGGTGTATGACTAGGCGTCCCACAAGGCTGACCAGTCCGAGCACCAGTGCGAATCACGTAAGAGCAGCGAACAGAACTGAGAGACCCTCTACTCTGAGCGTACCACTCAGGAAGCTGCTGGGGCGTGAGAGACGCGCGTGGGCGTCGCTGGAGCTGCATCTGGCCGCCGCCAGTAGAAGCAGGAGCAGGAGTAGCAGCAGTAAGGAAGGCAGGGGCTCACCAGTGGTGGGAAGAGCAGGCTCGACGACTCGGCGACGCGCAACTCGGCGGCACGGCGGCACTGCAGTAACTGCGGCTCGGCGGCTCGGGCGACCCGGGCGGCTCGGCTACTCGGGCGACTCGGGCGGCTCGGCGGCTCGGCGGCTCGGGTGGCTCGGGCGGCTCGGCCGGCTCGGGCGGCTCGGGCGGCTCGGGCGGCTCGGCTGCTCTGCGGCTCGGCTGCTGGGCTGCTCAGCGGCTCGGCTACGGCTCGGCTATGGCTCGGCTGCTGGGCTGCTCGGCGGCTCGGTGGGGGGGGGGCGGCTCGGCAATGCAGCAGGCGACGGGCCGGGGCAGCTGCGCGGGGCCGGGACGGGCGGTGCACGGGCGGCGTGGGGCCGGGACGTGCGGTGCACGTGCGGCGTGGGGCCGGGACGGCGGCGCGCTGCCAGAACGGGCGGCGCACGGGCGGAGTGGGGGCCGGGACGACGGCACGGGGCCGGGACGGGCGGCACACGGGCGGCGTGGGGCCGGGACGGGTGGCTCACGGGCGTCGACGGGCTGGAGCAGCGGCGCGCGGTCGGGACGGGCGGCGCGCGGGCGGCTAAGGGCCGGGACGGGCGGCGCGCGGGCGGCTAGGGGCCAGGACGGGCGGCGCGCGGGCGGCTAGGGGCCAGGACAGGCGGCGCGCGGGCGTCTAAGGGCCGGGACGGGCGGCGCACGTACGGTTAGGGGCCGGGACGGGCGGCGCGCGGGCGGCTAGGGGCCGGGACGGGCGGCGCGCCAGAAAAGAAAGAGGCCGCGCGCCCCGAGGCGCGTGCCAAAGTGCAAATCGCCGCGCGCCTGAAAATGCGTCGCACGCCACGGGGCGTGCGACAGAGCATGTAGCAGCGGAAGCAGTAGTACCCACAGGCCGAGAGCGTAACCGCTCTGAAACCATGTGAAAGAAACTAGAACGAGAATGAATGAACTATGAATGAAGTGAGTACATATAGGAAACCCTGATGGGGTTGTACCCCCTATGGGATACCCCACTATAGCCTACACAAATATATAAGCTATAATGTTCTGACAGTCCCCGTGTTTAGTGTTGGTCCCTCCCGAACGTGTGTCCTGGTTCCCCTAGGGGTTTTATGTTTTTTGCCCGCGTCAGAAATTGCTAATACGAAATAGGACACGTGTCGAAAAGTTTGCCCCGTAGGACCAGTTTTGAACATAATCTGGGGTGAGAATTGTCAGTAGAGCTACACTGTGAGATCCCCGATCGATCCTAGGGTGGGTTACAGGCGCGTTTGCCTGGGGGGTTATGGGCGCACTGACCCGCTACTGAAACAAGCCCTTTTATCTCAATGGTCTAGTGGTTGGGATTCTGACATGGTATCAGAGCGGTCTCGGGTTCGAATCCCGGTGTATGCACATGTTGGCCGTTGCCACTGTGCTCAGTCTTGGGCCTCCCAGTGTGGGGGGGTGTCAGTAGAGCTACACTGTGAGATCCCCGATCGATCCTAGGGGGGGTTACAAGCGCGTTTGCCTGGGGGGTTATGGGCACACTGACCCGCTACTGAAACAAGCCCTTTTATCCCAATGGTCTAGTGGTTGGGATTCTGACAAGAATTACTGTAGAACCTGGATCGGTGATTCATCCTTACTCGCATGGCCTCGAATTACTCGAATGGCCATCAAATTTGGTGATAATTACTCAAGTGGCCACGCTAGGGGATTCCCGCTGGCATTTTTTTTCCCGGCGCATTACCCTACAAGGGTTCGTATCCCCGAAACCTCTGTATTGATAATCGCGCGATTTTCAATTTTCGCAATGATTTATGATGGATGTTTTCGCGTAATGATTTATATTCGAAATTTATGTTCGTGACTCTATATGATCGCGCCTGATTGGACGCGCATATAGTCGACCAATCATGCGCGGTTATTTATGGTCGCGCACATCATATATTAGTGCCCGATCATATATTTCCGCGATCATAAACTGCAATGCGCAGGCGTCAATGTGTGTGACATTAAATAACCGCGCATGATTGGTCGATTATATGCGCGGTGCTTTGTTTTGCAATGCGCGTCCAATCAGGCACAGTCATATGGGGTCACGATCATAAATTTCGGATATTGAAGATCGCGCATTAATCATTACAGAGGTCTCGGGGGTACAAATCCTTGTAGGGTAATGCGCCGGGTAAAAACAAACCAGCGGGAATCCCCAGGCGTGGCCACTCGAGTAATTATCACCAAATTCGGTGGCCACTCGAGTAATTTGAAACCACGCGAGTAAGGATGAATCACCGATCCAGGTTCTACAGTAATTCTCTCTAATCTGGGCCTCGGGTGAGCAAACTTCTAGAAAGCTGTACTTTTTGAGTAAACTTGGGACTAAATTTGAGAGATTTTTTGAAACTATGGAGCTGGGATGTACTTTCCCACAGAAAAATCCTCTTCACAAGTACAGTAGCTCCTAGACCGTACTTTAGTCGTTTTCGACTACTTGCCTTACTGCTTGTAGTTAGTTGCGACCTGCGGGTGCACAACCGTACGATTACACAATGGACCGTTCTAACCCCATCGCGATCACCACCGCAGGTAGCGACAGTGCAATTTGCAAGAATGACGCTTCGCCAGCAGCGTCAGCAGCGTCAGCGAAGAAACCCGCGCCGAAGCGCTACGTGCGCTCGCAGATCCCGAAGCAGATCTCGGAAGATCCTGCGCTTCTCGCCGCCATGTCAGTTCTGCCGCCCAATTACAACCTCGAGGTTCCCAAAACTGTCTGGCGCGTGCGACAAGCGAAAGCGCGCTGCGTGGCACTGCAGCTTCCGGAAGGCCTCCAGATGTTCGCGACGACCCTGTGTGACATTATCGAGCGGTTCGGCGGCGCGGAAGGCTGCGTGATTCTAGGCGACGTGACGTACGGCGCGTGCTGCATCGACGACGTTACCGCAGCAGCGCTTGGCGCGGACTTTCTGGTGCATTACGGGCACAGCTGCCTGGTTCCGTTGGATCATACGGTCATTCCGTGCCTCTACGTGTTCGTCGATATCACCATCGACGTGCCGCATTTTATAGACACCTTGAAGCTTAATTTCCCGTCAACAGACCATCTTGTACTCGCTGGTGAGTTTTTTCCCTTTTCCCTTTTCCTGCCCTACAAAAATGTAAGAGCAATTTTTTAGGGAAGCTGAGCAAGAGGCAGGTAAATTTGTTTGCCTGAGGACGGACCGTTCAACCCTTCTTAAACCTCATACCTCGGACCTATCACCGTTTTACAGGCCAAAACCCAACTTACAGCCTCCCCCCGCTCCTCCTCCTTTTCTCCTTTCCCCCTCCCAAAAAATCCCTCATTTTTGCCAACGCATCCCCCCTCCCCTCTTCCCCTTGTCTCCCCCACCTCCCCCACCACCTCCCCCCCCTCTCCCCCTCCCAAGGCACCATTCAGTTCACAGCAGCGGTGCACGCGGCCATATCGGCTCTCCCAGGCCACTTAAGGGGCATTCCTGCTCCCTTCCCCACTTCCCGCTCTCCCAGGCACCATTCAGTTCACAGCAGCGGTGCACGCGGCCATATCGGCTCTCCCAGGCCACTTAAGGGGCATTCCTGCTCCCTTCCCCACTTCCCGCTCTCCCAGGCACCATTCAGTTCACAGCAGCGGTGCACGCGGCCATGTCGGCTCTCCCATGCCACTTACGGGGCATTCCTGCTACCTTCCCCACTTCCCGCTCTCCCAGGCACCATTCAGTTCACAGCAGCGGTGCACGCGGCCATATCGGCTCTCCCAGGCCACTTAAGGGGCATTCCTGCTCCCTTCCCCACTTCCCGCTCTCCCAGGCACCATTCAGTTCACATCAGCGGTGCACGCGGCCATATCGGCTCTCCCAGGCCACTTAAGGGGCATTCCTGCTCCCTTCCCCACTTCCCGCTCTCCCAGGCACCATTCAGTTCACAGCAGCGGTTCACGTCGCCAGAGCATCCCTCTCAGGCCACTTCAGAGGCATCACGGTGCATCAGGCCAAGCCTCTGTCTGGAAAAGAGGTTCTCGGCTGCACCGCTCCCTCGCTCTCTCCTTAGGGTCAACTCTGAGATTGCCCTTTAATTTCAGGTCCCCCTTCCCTTCGTTTCCCAATCTCTCCCCCCCTTGCTTCCCTTCTCCCTCTCTCTTTCCCTTTAGGCACCATTCAGTTCACAGCAGCGGTCCATGCGGCCAAATCAGCCCTCTCAGGCCACTTCCAAGCCATCACAGTGCCTCAGGCCAAACCACTGTCTGGAGGAGAGGTGCTTGGATGCACCGCTCCCTCGCTCTCTCCCTCGTTCGAGGGGGTAGCAGCAACAGAAGCAGCAGCAGGAGGAGCAAGGGTCGCAACAGGAACAGGAGAAGTAGCAGCAGCAGCAGCAGCAGCAGCAGCAGCAGCAGCAGCAGCAGCAGCAGCAGCAGCAGCAGCAGCAGCAGGAGGAGGAGCAGGAGGAGCACGAGCAGGGGCAGCAGCAGCAGCTGGGGCATGTGGTTCTGGTCCAGATGCGCTGGTTTTCGTGTCAGACGGTCGGTTTCACCTCGAAGCCATGATGATCGCAAATCCCACCCTCCCAGCATTTCGCTATGACCCCTACACCCGCACCCTCACTCGCGAGCGCTACGACCATTCAGGCATGCGAAATGCGCGGCGGCTGGCGGTTACCCGGGCGAGCAGGGTGCGGGGGAAGCGGTGGGGTGTTGTGCAGGGTACCCTTGGTCACCAGGGTAACCCGCGCACTGTGGACCACTGCGTGAGGAGGATCCGCGCTGCGGGCGGCACGCCGGTGGTGTTTCTCGTCTCGGAGCTGACTCCGGAAAAGGTGGCGGCGGTGGGGGTGGGGTCTGGTGGGATGGCTGGGGCTTGTGTAACAGAAGCTGTTGGTGACGTGGCAGGAGCCGGTGTTGACGTGGCAGGATCAGTTGGCGACGTGGATAGGGCCCTCGGTGAGCTGTCAATAGGAGGAGGAAGCATTAAGCATGGCAGCACAACAAGCTTCGACAAGGAGAGTGGGCGAGGGACAGGCATCGATGCGTGGGTGCAGGTGGCATGTCCGAGACTGTCCATAGACTGGGGGGAGGCCTTTACTGCCCCCATGCTCACTCCCTATGAGCTTGAGGTTGCACTGGGGTTCGCTTCCCCCTGGTGGGGAGGCTGCTTCTGTGACAGTGACTCTAACGTCCAGGGGGGTTGTAACGAAGGTGATTGTACAGAGCGTGGTTCTGGGAGTGTTGCTACAGGAGATGGAAATGGGTCGCAAGAGGACCAGCTGCAACGGTGCAAACAGTGCGGAGCTTGTAAAGGGGATAAGAGGGAGAGGGTGTACCCCATGGATCACTATGCCAGGGATGGCGGCCCTTGGAATGCTTCTTACATGCCTAAAAGAGCTGCTAGGTGATTTATGTCTGTAGGACTCTTGTTAGCAGCTTATAGAGGGAATATTGTGTACATTCTTTTTCATTAAACCCATGCAACGTTTAGGGTTTAGGGTTCACATGTCATTGCTTTCTCTTTCAATGCATGTCATAGAGGGCCCCCGAAGATAACATGTGAGGTATCATATAAATTTCATGATGTTGCTATGCCGACAGTTTTATAGCAGATTTTGTGTACACAATCTATTTTTAGCCTGAAAAATAACCTAGAAGTGATTTTAATATAATGAGAAAGCACATACGAATCACATGCAGAGTCTCTAAGAAGTACCGGTACACATACTGCAATAAGTTCTTGAGGTTTGTAGTGAGTGACAAATTACAGAACAAAAATAGAACTGTAGGTATTCTTCCTCTTGCACTCTTCTTACAGCAAAACGGACCTCGCTTGTTCGAGTTCCGCCTTTTTCCGAATCTGTGGTCAAATGAAAGTTGAATCTACTGTCAGCCAGGAGCGGAGCATGTTCTCTGTAGCAAGTTCTCTTGAAATCTCATCCCATATCTCGACGGCCATAGCTATCCCGAGGTCAAATGGAGCTGTCTGATGTAATCAGGGAGCACGATGGTTTCATTGTCAAGTGGTACCTTGAGGACGACCTTCGTTAGAAGAATCAGTAGCGAGCATGGAGCTATTTATGGATCCTGATAAGTTATCAACTTAGCGACTGCTGAAACCGTAAGGTTGACTAGCATATTCGCATATATTCGCAATGCCTGCAGCTGCGGACGCTATGGCTTTCGAGGTTCGGTTTAGGATACCGAGTGACCTCGTTCAGCGGAGATCCGACGACAATAGCAGCGATTCACAATCCAACGACAACAATCCCGAAATTAAACCGTCGGGATCATCCCACGTGGACGTTCACGTGGCCGTCTCTCCAGAGGAGTCCCTACGAGCCGTCTTTACCAGATTGTTTCAGTCACATTTGCCGCATTGCTACCTGCAATGTCAGACACGTGAGCAACAGGGACCGGAGAATGGCGGGAACGCGGTCGGAAAGGACTTGGCTGGTGGAGCGCAGCAGTCGCAGGCGTCGCAGGCGTCGCAGCTGTCGCAGCCGTCGCAGCAGGTCCGTTTCATGGTCTTAGGGCAAGTGGTGTATCTCTCGCCTGACTCCACCGTGGAACACGCGAAGCTCAAATCCGGTTCGACCATCAGGGTGTTTCCCGTGAAGACCGTGCATGAAGGTGCTCAAGATAAGGGCGAGGTGGGAGGTAAGCACGGAACGAGTGCTGCGCCTGCTGCTGCGCCTGCTGCTGCGCCTGCTGCTGCGCCTGTTGCTTCAGCTGCAGCAGCGGTGATGCCTCTTGCTGCTGCCTCTGCTGGTCTTCCTTCCACTGCCGCTGCACCTGCTTTAGCACCTGCTGCTGCACCTGTTTCAGCACCTGCCGCTGCACCTGCTTTAGCACCTGCCGTTGCACTGGCTGTTGCAACAGCTGCACCTGCTTCTCTGCCTGCTTCACCAACTGCTGCAACACCTGCTGCACCACCGACTGCACCGCCTGCTGCTCTGCCTGCTGCGCCTACCAGCAGCCGCATCGACTACAGCAAGTGGGATCACTTCGAGGCCAGCAGCGACGAGGAGGAGGAGGAGTTTCAAGAGGATGAGGATGAGGATGAAGAGGAGGAAGGGGAGGATGACGAGGAGGAGGAGGGGTTGGAGTACGTATTGGGACCGGACCTGAGTTCAAGAGGGGCAGCTGGAAAGAGTGGCGGAGGAAAGGGGAAGGCCGAGGCAGTTGCTGCTGAGAAAGGGACCACGAAGCACGAGGAAACAGATTCTGGGAAAGGAAGCAGCAATGACAAAAAAACAGCCCCGATGCAACAGGCGTCATCAGGTACAGCCAAACCAGAAAAGGCCAAGGCCGAGAGAGCAGAGCGAGAGGAAACAGGCGGTGTGCCGAAACGACCAGAGGAGGAGCAGCAGGAGGATGTCCAGCTGCTGGATCGAACGGACATGGTTCACTATCTCGACGCGAGGAACGGCTGGGATGTCGCCGCCTGCGAGCCGTGCTTCGATCGTGTGGTCTCCCGCCGGACAAAGCTCGCCCTGGGGATCCACAGCCTGAGGGACTTCCGCTCAACCCTCCGGCGGCACGTGAAAGAATCTGTCCCGCTCGCACCATCAGCCTGTCAGGCATCATCAGCAGCCCAGCATGCAGCGGCAGCAGCTCAGCAGGCGAAGGCACGGGCGATTGAAAAGTTCTCCTCGGGAGTTCCTTTGCCAGAGCGGGCGCTGGGAGGGAGGCAAGGAGTGCAGTCCTCTCGAGAGCGGTACAAATGGAAGTGCGAGCGGGCGGCGGGGGTTTGTGCAGAGGCGATGGTGTTAGAGTGGATGACTGAGCCGCGTGTGGGTGTGCTCATGGACCTGGGGATGATCAGATCCCGCCTGCCGGCCATTCTAGGGGTTGAAGGCCCTGCTGTTGATTCCCCTGCTCCTGCTGCTGTCTCTGCTCCTGCTCCGGCGCAATTCGCTCCTCCCGCGGTCGCCTGGTCCTGCTGCTACCGCTGCAGCGGCTGCTGGGCTGCCTACCGCCGTGCTGTCAGCTTCGCCACCTTCCTTGTGATTGTAGCGAGGCTGCCCCGCATTGTGACTCTATGGAAGGCCCACATGGACTCGGACTCTGCCACGTTCCCAGGGGTAATGGGTCATTTGGGGGCGGGCAGGCAGGAGAAGGAGGATCAGCTAGCTTCCTTGCTGGTACAGGTGCTCGGGGTGAAGGAGGCCAGTGAGCTGAAGGAGGGATTTGGGTTTTTCATGCAGAATTTGCTGTCTGGGGGGGTGAGGGAGCGTGGGGAGGGGGAGAGGAGGGAAGCGAGAGCAGGGGCGGCGGGCGGGGGGGCAGGAGGGGGGGTTGTTGAGCAGGCACGAGAGGAGGGATGGCGGATGTTTGAGGAGATGATGGGGATGATGCGCATGATGGGTGCTAGTGATGCGCCCACAGCGGCCGATGTGATGACGAGGATGCGGCATGTCATGGGGGTGGACGGGGAGGAGGAGGGGGGTGGCACGGTGGTGTGTATGGTGGAGGGGAGTGAGGCCAGGGCGAGGGGAGGGAGGCGTGGTGAGAGTGCTGGGAGGAAGGCTGGGAAGGATGGTAAGTGGAGGGAGCACCTGAAAGGGCCTGTGTGGGAGAGGTATGTGGATGGCATGGCTTGGATTCTGGTGCATGGAGGGGGGGAAGGGAGGGAGTTCAGGTGCAGCCACTGCAGTGACGGGGGCAGCAGCAGCAGCAGCAGCAGCAGCAGCAGCAGCAGCAGTAGCGGAATAAGCAGCAGTGGGACCAGCAGCAGCAACAGCGGCAGCAGTAGCAGCAATGGCGGCGTCGGCAGCAGCAGCAGCTTGGACAGCAGGGGTGCTCCCAAGGGCATGTATCTGAGCGGCGTGGGCGCCACCGAATTCGCCCTTGCATTCGCCACTGTGATTTCAGAAAGCGGGCAGCACAAGCAGGGCGAGGTGTTCTGCATGGACGCAGAGAGTGTGAACAAGTCGAATGTAGAAGATGCAGCGATCGAGGAGGCACGAGAGAGGCTTCTCAGGGAGAAGAAGGTGGGAAGGGAGGTGGAGGTGGGAGTGGGAGGTGCCATAGCTGATGCAGCAGCTGCATTGTCGGTCGTCAACAACACAAACCCGCCGCTCACTGGCCCACCCGCCCCTTCCCTCATCCCTGTCAACACGAACCCGATCGTCTCAGCAATGGCGTATCGGGTCGGCTGTATCCTGCAGTGGGTGCGAATCTACGGCTCAGATTTCATCTCATCTAGGGGGTGCTTCAAGGCTAGGCCTCAGGGAAAAGTCCTGCCCTTGCGGCACCCGCTTAGGGACCTTCCGAGCGTGCTGGTGAGGCTCGGAGCCATTCCCAAGCCTCTGCCTTGGAAGCAATTTGATTCGGAGTGGGAGGAGTGGCCACGTGGAGAGGAAGATGCAGTGAAGTTTCCTGACGATCAGAGTGTGCGGTGTTTCCATCTGGGGATTGTAGAGGAGGCGGGGGAGGGAGATCAGGAGAACAGGGGAAGCAGCAAGGGCGGTGACAGGGGGAGCGGCGGGGGTAGTGGCGGGGGTAGTGGCGGGGGGAGCGGCAAAAGGCGTGGGCAGGGACGTGACAGGGGGAGTGGCGGGAAAGGGGGAGGGGGAGCGCACCCCTCCAGAGCACCAGCACCAGCACCAGCTCAGAACAGAGCCATGCCCATCGTGCGCTGTGCAGCAGACGCTCATTTCCTGGTGGAGTTCGCCGGGCATCAGGTCTACCCCCCCGCGTGCGCCCGCTGCCGCTCGTGCCTGGACCAGTTCACCTACCACATCCCCTTCCTCACCCTCCTCGCCAATTTCGCCTACCGCCCCGCCACCGTCCTCCTCAACCGCTTCCTCTCTGTCTTTCCCCCCCATTCGCCGGAATTCGCTAAGCTCGTGGACCTTCTTCTGTTAGAGCCGTTCCCTCGGGGCACCTGTGCGGCATTCCAGGTGCACGTGGTGAGGGAGAGAGCAGAGGAGCTTCCCGTTCACTTTTTGCTCAACGTGGCTCTGAACTGGCCGAATGCGATGCTGCAGGTCGAGGAGATTGGGATGGTCGGTCGGGACGAGTGGAAAGGGGAGCTGCTGGGGGGGGCGGACGGGAGGAAGGCAGGGAGAAGGACGCGTGGGGGTGGTGGGGGAGGGAGAGGAGAGGAAGGGGGGGAGGAGGAGGATGATGGGGAGGTGTGGGAGGAGGTGAAGGACTGGGGCTTTGCGGTGCTGATTGCGTGGAGGACGGATGCGATGACCGATCTGATCGACGACTGCAGACGAGGCAGCAGCAGCGGGGGGCCGCCACGCAAGTGCAGCAAGGACGTGGCGACAGAGCTGTGCAACAGGTGCCTGGAGTCAAGGTTCCGTGAGGAGTGGGACGGGGGGGTTCCGCCTCCCAGCAGCAGCATCTTCACCAGCGGAAGCAGCAGCAGTGGTAGTAGGGGGAAGGGGAAGAAAGAGAAAGAGGAGGAGGTGCCGGCTTATTTGAAGGCATGGCCAGGGGGTGTCAATCTGGTGGCTTGCCTGCGAGAGATGCTGCTGGGAGAGCCCTGCTACCGCCCTGCCCCCGCTGGTGCTGCCACTGGTGCTTCCTCTGCTTCAGCCTCTGCCCCTGCTGCTGCTTCTGCTGCTTCCGCATCGGCCACTTGCTCTGCCACTCGTGCTGCTGTAAGCACTGCTGCTGCTGCGGCTGCTCCAAGTTCTAATGACACGAATGCACATCAGGGCAGTGCAGGCCCCGGGAGTTCCAAAAAGCGTGTGTGCGGTGCTGCAGGGTGCGGCGTGGTGGAAGGCGGTTGTGTGAAGCTGAGGAGTTGCTCTGGGTGTGGCAGGGTGGCGTATTGCGGCAGGGAGTGCCAGAAGGCCCACTGGCCCTCCCACAAGCTCGCATGCCCGGGCAGGGCTGGTGGGAAGAAGAATGAGAAGAGCAATGACAATGTGAGTGTTTTTTGAAGTTTCTCATTCGGGGCAAAGTGAGTAGTGGAAGAATATGCAAGGGCAGTGGCTGGAGAGAACTGAAGATGACACAACTCAGTATTGCATGCAGTAGAGACCGTTTTTAGGTGCGATGGCCCTCCCACAAGCTCACATGCCTCGGAAGGGCTGGTGGGAAGAAGAGTGAGATGATTAATGAAAAGGTGAGTGGGCATTTGGTTTATGTGTCAGCTGCTGCTGACGGGTCAGGATAGGTGACAGGATACATCATGGGTCTAATCTCAAACACGACAGATGGGCATCTCTCCTGCGCAAATCGTGATTTGATTCGGTTTGAATCCTCTCCTCCACTGTTGCCAGCTGCCTGTTTGCAATGTTGATTCACCTTGCACTCACAAACACCCCATACCTCCTGGCTTTCCTAGTTTCCTTGCTCTTCTATGGACATGTCTAAAGTCTTTTGACTCTACCATACGATGAGGACAGGCCACACTTGTACGTATCAGTGCTTTCTTTGTGACACGTTTTGAATGCCATTCAAACCCTTCAACATGATCAGAATAAGTTGACATGTTCTGCTGATATGCAGTGTGTTTTTCTACTGTTTGAGAGCCATCGTCTGACGTGGTACCGGTTTAGTTTTCACATTTTTATTTATTACAATTCTGGCATTGCTCCACCTAATACCTGTCATCCCCGGCTATAGGACCCGGGGAAATCTCTACATATTCACAATACCGTAATAAGTTTGAGGTGAACATTTAGGTGGCAGGAGTTTTTTACGTCTTTGGTACACTTATCTATCAGATATCAATCTGTTGTTTAGAGTGCTCGACTCAATATGTGGCGCGGGAGGGCTCTTATATTTGTAACGAGCCCCCTGGTGTACAGACATTGCGCGAGTCTGACACAAACTGCGTGAGAGAATTCGATTCTGACACGAACAGCGTGTCAGAACTCGAATTTGCTTCTGTAAAAGATGACTCGCAATAGCAATTACGAGACAAGAAATAAGGGGTCTTACAGCGATTAGGGGCAAAAGGGGCTCCTCACAAAACGTCCCAAAAATAAAAGTTCCACTACCCAATGGTGACATGATGTATGTGGTTGACCGGATCAAACACCAGACCCCTGAACAAAAAAGTGCCATAGGACCCGGCACCAGGATTCCTTCTCATATACGGTAGTTTACAAATGTTCACCTGTTCATGTTATACACACAGCCTCAAGCCCTCAGTTACAATATCAAGAACAGGAATACTGAAGCCTACTGTCAAAAGAAACAGTAGATGAAAGTACCAAACTCACGCATGAACCACAGCAGCAGCCACTTCTCCCCCCTCGCATCACACAACATGCCTCTCTCCATCCTGCCCCCCCCCCTCCCCAACCCCCTCCTTGCCTAATCCTCCTCATCCATCACCCCCCCTTCCACATTCAGACTGAACTCATACTCCTGATCGCACCCTAAGTACGAATCGCACATGAAATACAGCATCAGATCCTTCTTCCCCTCCCCACTGCCCCCGCCCTTCTCCCCTTCTCCTCCAGGCGCTGCGAATTCAAGCTTAACCTTTGCCTTTCGCTGGAGCGCCGTTCGCTTAATGGCCAATAGCTGATTGGTCTTTGGGTCCCCAACCACGAGCCACCAACCCTCGTCCTTAGGCTTGGGAAAGCGCGGCGCATCCACCGGACCTAGCTCCTGTCCAGGCTCGATGTCCCTCTCGAGAGTCACCTGGTGGGAAGCGGTTGGAAGAGGTGGAAAGTGGTGAGCAGGAGGTTGCAAAAGGTGCGCAATACGATTGTTGAGTGGACTAATAAGCCAGACCTAGCTCCTGCCTAGGATTGATATCCCTCTCAAGAGTCACCGGAGGGATGAAAGGCGGGCTGAAAGGGTTAGCACAAAAAAGGTAGAAAGTATAGGGAGGTGTGCAAGCATAGAGATTGCCACCCCAGCCCAACCCCCCCTCCTCCCTCAACTCCCCTTTCCTGTTTCCACTTCCCTTCCCCAACTCCTGACTCCCTGATCTCCTCCTACCTGCATCACCACGTTCTCCCCTGCCGCCACATCCTGGCCGTTGATCAGGTCGTAGTTGAGATCGATGGACGGGAAGCGATTGCACACGCGCGCCACGTCAGACAGCTGCTCCTCAGACATGCCGAGCGCCGCCGCCCGCTCGTCGTCGTCCATATCCACGAGATCGGATACGGATTCGATTCCCTTTGCTGTAAATTTGGCAGCTAGCTCCTTGGTGAAATGCGGCAGCTGCAGCAGCGGCGAATCCTTCTCCCATAGGCCCTGAGAGGGGGAAAGGGGTCAGGGGAGGTTCAGGGTGGGATTGGGAAAGGGGAGGGGGGGAGTATGGGGAGGCACACAGGACAACGTTATTTCGTGCTAGCTCCTTGGTGAAGTGCGGTAGCTGCAGCAGCGGGGAATACTTCTCCCATAGGCCTTGGAGAGGGTAATAGAGGAAGATTTGGTTCGCGGAGGAGAAAGAAAAGCAGGAAAATTTCACCATGAGGAAAAAGCCGAGGGGAATCCCTGAGGATGGGTGAAAGAAAGATATAGGGCGGGGGGGCAAGGGTTGTTGGAGCAAGAATGAGGAGTCGCACAGGAAGGACTCAACGACACAATATGGGAAAGGGATGGTGTTCCGCCAATAGGAAGGGAAGTTAAAGATTCGGTTAAGTTGAGTGTTCCTTCTGACGACCACGATCATAAAAAAATATTTTTACTGCTGCACCTGGGCTGAAAAAAGCCAAGCAGAGGTTTGGGTTGAGATTTCTCGAGTGGCTAACAATTTTAAAGTTGACACCGAACTGAAAAAGACGCGGGATAATGTGAAAGGTGTTCTGAGGGATGAGGAGATCAGAGTAATGAGGGAGAACAGAAAGCTGCTAAGAGATGGTTGAAGGATAATATCTACACTGGTGTGAATAATAAGCATGAGATGTGCTGGGTTAACGATGTGACTCAGAGGCTCAAGCTCCTGAAGAAGGTTTTAACCCACTAACATTCACGAGTCCATGAATCGACCTAGTAGCAGGCCAAAAGTTCCTTCAAGAGCTCGAGCCTCTAGTGTCAACTCAGTACACTCTATTCTTATTATAATCCCCTAACCATCTCTTAAAAGCTTTTCCATTTTTTCCTCACCATGTGACCTCCTCATTCCCCAAAACACCTTCACATTATCCCGCATCTTTTTAGATTCAATGCCGACTATCAGGGTGTTAACCACTGCTGCTAAACCTGCAACTTCTTTTTACCCCTTAATTCTCAACACCCATCTCACCTGGGTGACCATCTGGCTAAGCTCCATGGCGGCGAGAGCAGGGGACAACCAGCCTGAGCTCGAGAGCACGTCCACCATGGCCTGCAGCAACCTGGAAGCTTCCATCAGCACCGCGCGCTGGTCCTGGGCTAGGGGGCCTGTCACAACGTGGCGAGCAAAGTGCGCCTGGTGGAGGGGGAGGGGGGAGTAAGGGGGAAAGAGTGAGATTAGGAACTAAGAAGAATCAGAAAAACGGGTGGTGGTGGGGGGGGTGACGGGCTGAAAAACAGAACAGGGAAAAGGAAGCATCAGAGAAACGGGTGCGGAGGGCGAAGGGCTGAAAGAGAGAATAGGCCCCTCCCACTCAGTCCCTTTCCATCCCCCCCTCTCCCTTTTCACTTGCTCACTCTCTCACACACAGGCACACACCAAACCAGCATACGCGCGCGCGCGCGCGCGCACACACACACACACACACACACACTCACACACACCCCTTACCTGCAGCAGCACGTTGGCCTTGAGGTGAGGGTCCGAGAGGTTGGGTTTCTCCACGCCGAAGCGCTGGTGATGCAGCATCTTGCGCACCTGCTCCTCCTCGCCCGGCCGCATGGGCAGCTCGCCATACTCGCTCGCACTCGCCACCACCTCTATCAACCCCTTGAGCCTTGTCTTCGGCCCCAGCGAGCCCGAAAACGCCTCGATCGTGGTGTAAGAGATGTAGTAGTAAGCCGCGATCATCCCGAGGTTGAGAGGAGATAAATCCATATCGTCCTCTATCGCCACGCACTTGGAAGCCTCCAAATCCGACAGGGTCGTTTCGACGAGCTCGGAGAGATGATCACTCAGGTGGCGGTGGGAGGTGCCGGTGAGGTTGTAGTAATTGGGGTTTTGGGTGAGGCGGCGGTACAGGAAGGACCAGGTCAGGTAGTCCACTGCGTCCTGCTTGTTCTCGACTGTCCTCACCACGACCTCCGCGTTCAAGGGGTCGTGCAGGTGCTGGTCCAGGTGGGATTCGACGGGGAGCGGTTCCAGCAGGAACTTTTTGTAATACTCCTTGCGCGCCGAGTGGCAGAAGATCACACACCTGCCAGCGTCGTCCAGGCCTGAATCGACACAGAAAGTGGGGAAGAGGGAGGAGGGGTGGGGAAGAGAAAAGGGGACAGAAGGGGAGGGGGGTGTGTGTGGGGAAGGAGGCGAGGGAGAGGTAGAAAACGCTCTCCTGACCAAGTTCTCCTGGAGATGGGAGGGGGGTTGTGAGAGGGAACAATGATGGTTGGTATGGAAGGTTCCGTATCACACCCACACCCTTCACTCCAACGCTTCACCCGAACCTCACTAACTATATGCATCACACCGCCCTCTCACCAGGCCTGGACGCTCACCAGGCCTGGACGCTCGCCCCATCATCTGCAGGAGGTCATCTATCCTGCCACCTCCGCTGCTCCAAGGCTTTTATCCAAAGCTCACTGGCAGTAAAAACCACACTGCACCGCACCGCACCACACCATGCATCACCACACCACACCACTCACCAGGCCTTGACGCTCGCCCCATCATCTGCAGAAGGTCAGTCACTGGATAGTCCACCCTGCCGCCCCCGCTGCCACCCGCGACGGCAGATGCGCCTCCCCCGGACCCGCCTCCCCCTCCCCTGGCGTCATAGTACTGCGTGCCCATGATGACCACGAGGTTGGCGGGGAATATGGACCAGCACAGGGAGCTCACTGCCACGCACACCTGCAGGAGAGGGGGGTAGGCAGGATGCATGGAAGGGAGAGTAGGGGGAAGGGGGCATGAGGTGTAATAGTAGTGCGTGTGCCCATGATGACCACCAAATTGGCGGGGAATATGGACCAGCACAGGGAGCTCACTGCCACACAGACCTGTGAGAAAAGAGAGCAGGGAGCAGGGAGCAGGGAGCAGGGCGGGCAGGGAGGATGGGAGCGGAGGCATGGGGTAAGAGACAAGGCGTCGTAGTACTGCGGGTGCCTATGATGACAACCAGGTTGGCCGGGAATACAGACCAGCAGAGGGAGCTGCCGCACAACCTCTTCCTCCTCACTCAACTCAGCCTCTAGCGCTGATACGTCCACACTGCACAGTACGGTAGGGGACAGGGGAGGGGAGTAGCAGAGGGAGAGGAGAGGAGGGGAGGGGAGAGGAAAGGAGAGGAGACAAAAGGACCCACCTGGATAGCCCCGGCGGTGAACAGCTGCTGCACCACCTCCTGCTCCACCGCACTCAACCCCTCGTGCAGATACGCCACTCCAAACGTCAGCCCGTGCCGCAGCCCCTCGTCCTTCACGCGCGCCAGAAACGGCACCAAGTCCTCCTCCCCACAGTGCAGAAACGGGGAAGCCGCCGCCAGAGCTGCAGCAGAGGTCGTCCCATCGGCGTTCCCAGCAGCACCGGAGGTCCCGTCCGCGTTGGCGGCCGCGGCGAGAGTGGCCCCGGCGTCGCCGGCAGCGAAAGCGCAGAGGTCGAGAGCGGTGAGGCGGGCGTGCTTGCGGGTGGGGACGAAGACGAGGGCTGGCTTGCTGGAGCGAGCCGTGTGGTTCATTATGGCCGTGTAGGCCGGCTTGGTCATGGCCTGGGGAAGGAGGTAGAGGAGCAGAGACAGACAGGGCAGAAAACGAGGATCATCCATCGGCCCCAACTCCCTGCTGGAGCGTGTGGTGTGGTTTATTATGGCCGTGTAAGCCGGCATGGTCATGGCCTGGGGGGAGAGGAGGAGGGGGGGGGAGAATAGGGAGAGAGGGATGACATGGGGAGGTGAGGTGGGTGAGTGGGGCAGAAGGGGGGGTGAGCAGCAGCACCAAGCGCGTTGGGGCGAGCGGTGTGGTTTATTATGGCCGTGTAAGCCGGCGTGGTAATGGCCTGGGGCGACAAAGGGGGGGGAGCATAGGGAGAGAGAGAGGATTCGCATGAGAAGGAGGTGAGGAGGAGGTGGGTGAGTGGGGAAGAAAAGGGGGTTTACTGAGCAGCACCAAGTTTGCTGGCAGCACCAAGTTTGCTGGCAGCACCAAGTTTGCTGGCAGCACCAAGTTTGCTGGCAGCACCAAGTTTGCTGGCAGCACCAGCACACTGACACACAGTGACACACAGTGACACACAGTGACACACACTGACACACAGTGACACACAGTGACACACAGTGACACACAGTGACACACAGTGACACACAGTGACACACACTGACACACAGTGACACACAGTGACACACAGTGACACACAGTGACACGCACCCCACACCCACTTTCCCCCGAGCACCCACCTGCATGCGCGCATCGAAGTTGGAGACGTCAAAGCCCTGAATGTGGATCTCCAGGGGCACGGGGCGCACAGCGGGGGAGAAGTTGAAGAGCCCGTGGGAGCTCGCCCCCACCCACTCGCCCAGATCCCGCGCATTCGCCAGCGCCGCCGCCAGCGCCACGATGCGGATCCTGTGTCCCCCTGCCGCCTGCTGGCTGTTGGCCCCTCCGGACGCCCCCAGCCCGCCCCCTGCCGCTGCGGATGCTGCGGACTGGGAGCTGATGTAGCGCATGCGGGAGGTAATGACCTCGAGAATGGAGCCGTTGTGACCGCCGATCAAGTGTAGCTCGTCCACTATAAAGAGGTCCACCTGTGGAAGGCGATAGGGAATACGGGGTAGAGAGGATACAGAAAAGAGACAAGGGGAAGAGGAGGAAGAGGAGGAGGTGGGTGGGAGTGCAAGCTGATGTAGCGCATGCGGGATGTGATGACCTCGAAAATAGAGCGGTTGTGGCCTCCGATCCAGTGAACCTGGACCACGATGAAGTGAGGCGCAAGTGACGGGACACAGAGCAACGGAGGGTACAAGGTGATGAGCTGAGCGCCAAGGCCCTGTGGAGGGGGGTAGAGGTGACGAATGAGATGACATGCGAGGGAGAGTGGTAGGCACTGATGAAGGCCTGGTAGGGGATGCCCTCCAGCCGAAACATGTTTGTCTTGTTTTAATTTCTGTTAACGAGAAGAGTTCCGGTTTCACAGACTCTCGGCTATTAGCTAGTGTTAAGAGTTTCACTGTTTTTTCTACTTGCTTAAGCCTAAACCTAGGCACTGCTGCTCACTGGGGAGCGCCAAGGCCCTGTGGAGGGGGGTAGAGGTGACGAATGAGATGACATGCGATGCGAGGGAGAATGGTGAGACTACAAGCCTTCAGATTCTCAGCCAGCCCCTATCAAGCCTTCAGATTCTCAGCCAGCCCCTATCAAGCCTCCAGATTCTCAGCCAGCCCCTATCAAGCCTCCAGATTCTCAGCCAGCCCCTATCAAGCCTCCAGATTCTCAGCCAGCCCCTATCAAGCCTCCAGATTCTCAGCCAGCCCCTATCAAGCCTCCAGATTCTCAGCCAGCCCCTATCAAGCCTCCAGATTCTCAGCCAGCCCCTATCAAGCCTCCAGATTCTCAGCCAGCCCCTATCAAGCCTCCAGATTCTCAGCAGCCCTATCAAGCCCCTATCAAGCCTCCAGATTCTCAGCCAGCCCCTATCAAGCCTCCAGATTCTCAGCCAGCCCCTATCAAGCCTCCAGATTCTCAGCCAGCCCCTATCAAGCCTCCAGATTCTCAGCCAGCCCCTATCAAGCCTCCAGATTCTCAGCCAGCCCCTATCAAGCCTCCAGATTCTCAGCCAGCCCCTATCAAGCCTCCAGATTCTCAGCCAGCCCCTATCAAGCCTCCAGATTCTCAGCCAGCCCCTATCAAGCCTCCAGATTCTCAGCCAGCCCCTATCAAGCCTCCAGATTCTCAGCCAGCCCCTATCAAGCCTCCAGATTCTCAGCCAGCCCCTATCAAGCCTCCAGATTCTCAGCCAGCCCCTATCAAGCCTCCAGATTCTCAGCCAGCCCCTATCAAGCCTCCAGATTCTCAGCCAGCCCCTATCAAGCCTCCAGATTCTCAGCCAGCCCCTATCAAGCCTCCAGATTCTCAGCCAGCCCCTATCAAGCCTCCAGATTCTCAGCCAGCCCCTATCAAGCCTCCAGATTCTCAGCCAGCCCCTATCAAGCCTCCAGATTCTCAGCCAGCCCCTATCAAGCCTCCAGATTCTCAGCCAGCCCCTATCAAGCCTCCAGATTCTCAGCCAGCCCCTATCAAGCCTCCAGATTCTCAGCCAGCCCCTATCAAGCCTCCAGATTCTCAGCCAGCCCCTATCAAGCCTCCAGATTCTCAGCCAGCCCCTATCAAGCCTCCAGATTCTCAGCCAGCCCCTATCAAGCCTCCAGATTCTCAGCCAGCCCCTATCAAGCCTCCAGATTCTCAGCCAGCCCCTATCAAGCCTGCAGATTCTCAGCCAGCCCCTATCAAGCCTCCAGATTCTCAGCCAGCCCCTATCAAGCCTCCAGATTCTCAGCCAGCCCCTATCAAGCCTCCAGATTCTCAGCCAGCCCCTATCAAGCCTCCAGATTCTCAGCCAGCCCCTATCAAGCCTCCAGATTCTCAGCCAGCCCCTAACAAGCCTCCAGATTCTCAGCCAGCCCCTATCAAGCCTCCAGATTCTCAGCCAGCCCCTATCAAGCCTCCAGATTCTCAGCCAGCCCCTATCAAGCCTCCAGATTCTCAGCCAGCCCCTTTAAAGCCTGCAGATTCTCAGCCAGCCCCTATCAAGCCTCCAGATTCTCAGCCAGCCCCTATCAAGCCTCCAGATTCTCAGCCAGCCCCTATCAAGCCTCCAGATTCTCAGCCAGCCCCTATCAAGCCTCCAGATTCTCAGCCAGCCCCTATCAAGCCTCCAGATTCTCAGCCAGCCCCTATCAAGCCTCCAGATTCTCAGCCAGCCCCTATCAAGCCTCCAGATTCTCAGCCAGCCCCTATCAAGCCTCCAGATTCTCAGCCAGCCCCTATCAAGCCTCCAGATTCTCAGCCAGCCCCTATCAAGCCTCCAGATTCTCAGCCAGCCCCTATCAAGCCTCCAGATTCTCAGCCAGCCCCTATCAAGCCTCCAGATTCTCAGCCAGCCCCTATCAAGCCTCCAGATTCTCAGCCAGCCCCTATCAAGCCTCCAGATTCTCAGCCAGCCCCTATCAAGCCTCCAGATTCTCAGCCAGCCCCTATCAAGCCTCCAGATTCTCAGCCAGCCCCTATCAAGCCTCCAGATTCTCAGCCAGCCCCTATCAAGCCTCCAGATTCTCAGCCAGCCCCTATCAAGCCTCCAGATTCTCAGCCAGCCCCTATCAAGCCTCCAGATTCTCAGCCAGCCCCTATCAAGCCTCCAGATTCTCAGCCAGCCCCTATCAAGCCTCCAGATTCTCAGCCAGCCCCTATCAAGCCTCCAGATTCTCAGCCAGCCCCTATCAAGCCTGCAACAACCTACCAAACCCTCACCTGCTGCATGTCGCGCCTCTGCTTCCATCGTCGGCTCAGCTGGTCCCACCGCTCCAGTGTGCTCACGTGCTCACACCCACCTGTCTGTCACCCACCCATCGCTTACCCAGGGTTCACAGTGTGCTCACGCACGTCTTGCAGTGCTGCGTCTCACCTCACCTGCTCCACATGCCATACCTGTTGCACGGCGCGCCTCTGCTTCCACCTTCGGCTCAGCTGGTCCCACCGCTCCGGAGTGCTCACAACAATGTTACTCCTCTCCAGCAGCTTCAAATCCGTCCCACTCTCCCCCGTAAGCTCCCCAACCTTAACCTTCCCCCCTCCGCCGAGCATCTTCCCGAACCTCTCCCCCCACTCCTTCGCCCTCTCCTTCACAATTGCTTCCACTGGAGCCACATACACGCACCGCCCGCCGTACGAAATTTCGTCCGGACTGCCCGAGTTCCCGCCGGAGGCTTTTGCCTGCAGCATGCGGAGGATTGCGAACTCCGCGCAGATTGTTTTCCCGCTGCCTGTGGGCGCGGCCAGCAGGACGTTGTCGTCAGTGTTGTACAGAACCGTAAACACCTGCGTCTGAATGGGGTTAAAGTGCGAAATGCCCCGCCGGACCGTCCCCGAACCACCAGCATCGGTGGAAACCAGGCCTGCCGCTGCTTCTCCAGCGTACAGCGCCTCGAACGCCGCGTTACGTAACGCGGTAACCGGCAGCGGCTGCAGGTCCAGCAGCTCGGTGGGCGGCGGGAATTTCTCGGGCAGAATAAGGTGGCGGAAGCTCACGGGCAGCACGGTCTGCGCGCCGATCCAACGGTCCGAAACGACCTTCACAAAATACTGCGGCGGCAGCGGCTCAAAGATCGGGACCGTAAACGAGAGGTAGTGATCCTCTTGCGCGTACTGCATCTTGAGAAGGAATAGCTCGTGGTGTAGGATGGTGTCTCCATCATGATCCTCCACGATGACCCAGAAGGGCTCCACGAAGCCGTGCAGCTTCTCCTCCCACTGGAAGTCGGGCGTTATGGTGAGATCGACGCGCAGGACGGAGCGGGTGATTGGGAGGACTTGGGCCGCCAGCTCGAGACGAGGGAACTGGAAAAGGGTTGAGGTAGAATCGGCAGGGAGAGAAGGGAAAAGGGGAAAGGCAGGGGGAGAGGGAGAAGGGTAGGGAAACCAAGAAGGAGAAGTGAGTGAGAGTGAGGCAGTATGATCCTTGACGATGACCCAGAAGGGCTCCACGAAGCCGTGCAGCTTCTCCTCCCACTGGAAGTCGGGCGTTATGGTGAGATCCACCCGTAGAACCGAGCGGGTTATGGGGAGGACCTGCGCTGCCAGCTCGAGACGAGGAAACTGTGATTGGGGATGGGGAGGTGGGAAGGGGAGATGGGGGGAAGGACATGTAGGCAGAGGAGGGGAGAGAGTGAAAGTCGGGCGTTATGGCGAGATCGACCTGGAGCACTGATGGCGTGATGGGGAGGACTTGTGCTGCCAGCTCGAGGCGAGGGAACTGGGCAGCGGGGAGGGGGGTCAGGGAGAAGGGGAGGAAGAGACGGGCAATAGGGCGTGGGAAAGGATAGGGGAACAGGGAGAGAGGGGTGAGTGAGAGTGAGGCAGTGCAGTCCTCCCTTCCACGATCACCCAGAAGGGCTCCACGAAGCCGTGCAGCTTCTCCTCCCAGTGGAAGTCGGGCGTTATGGTGAGATCCACCCGTAGAACTGAGTGTGTCATGGGAAGGACTTGCGCTGCCAGGTCGAGGCGAGGGACTGAAGAGCGGGGAGGGGGGTAGGGGAGAGCAAAGAGAGGGAGCATGGAGAGGAGAGAGTGGAAGTCGGGCGTTATGGTGAGATCCACTCGCAGCACTATTTGAAGAGTGTTATGGGGAGGACTTGGGCTGCCAGGCAAGGGAAGTGGGGGGGGGGGGGGGTGGGTGGTGGAGGAGGGGGGAGGGGAGAGATAATTTGAAGAGAAGGGGCGGGAACACAGCGGTAAGGGGGGGGGGGGGGGGGGGGGGGGAAGGAAGAGAGAAGTAGTCAGGCGTTATGGTGAGATCTACACCATTCACAAGAACATTCTCCATCTCACTATAACAGCCTTCACTATTACAGCTTTCACTACAGAAAAGCCATCCTCACCTAATTGCACCAGCTCGTAGAGTGTACCTACTAAACCATACACTCCCATACTCGCTATGACAGTCTTCACTACCAGCCAGCCAGTCTCACCTGGTGCACCAGCTTGTGCAGAGTCTTGCCGAGCTTCGGCATGCGAACTAGCTCCCCAAGCTCCTGCGAAAAGGAACAGGAATGGGGAGAGCGGAGAGATATGAGAAGAGCAAGGTAAAAGAGGGTGCAAGAGAGAAACATGGATTGTTCAGGCGCCTCAAATAAAATCTCGAGGGCCAGGTTGTGCAGAGTCTTGCCGAGCTTCGGCATGCGAACCAACTCCCCGAGTTCCTGCCAGAGAGAAATGAGAGAAGGCATTGGGAGGGAGGGAGAGGAGAGAAGAGAGAAGAGCGAGGCAGAAGAGAGAAGAGCGAGGCAGAAGAGAGAAGAGCGAGGCAGAAGAGAGTAAGAAATAAGTGGTTTCTCTGAGCTTCGGCATGCGAACTCCCCGAGTTCCTGCCAGAGAGACATGAGAGAACGGATTGGGAAGGAGGAGGAGGAGGAGGAGGAGGAAAGAGGAGAAGAGCAAGGCGGAAGGCGGTGAAGAACAGAACAGGTGTGTGAGGCGCTTTTACGCGCCTCACACAGGTCCTGGGTTTGCTTTTACGCGCCTCACACAGGTCCTGGGTTTGCTTTTACGCGCCTCACACAGATCCTGGGTTTGCTTTTACGCGCCTCACACAGGTCCTGGGTTTGCTTTTACGCGCCTCACACAGGTCCTGGGTTTGCTTTTACGCGCCTCACACAGGTCCTGGGTTTGCTTTTACGCGCCTCACACAGGTCCTGGGTTTGCTTTTACGCGCCTCACACAGGTCCTGGGTTTGCTTTTACGCGCCTCACACAGGTCCTGGGTTTGCTTTTACGCGCCTCACACAGATCCTGGGTTTGCTTTTACGCGCCTCACACAGGTCCTGGGTTTGCTTTTACGCGCCTCACACAGGTCCTGGGTTTGCTTTTACGCGCCTCACACAGGTCCTGGGTTTGCTTTTACGCGCCTCACACAGGTCCTGGGTTTGCTTTTACGCGCCTCACACAGGTCCTGGGTTTGCTTTTACGCGCCTCACACAGGTCCTGGGTTTGCTTTTACGCGCCTCACACAGGTCCTGGGTTTGCTTTTACGCGCCTCACACAGGTCCTGGGTTTGCTTTTACGCGCCTCACACAGGTCCTGGGTTTGCTTTTACGCGCCTCACACAGGTCCTGGGTTTGCTTTTACGCGCCTCACACAGGTCCTGGGTTTGCTTTTACGCGCCTCACACAGGTCCTGGGTTTGCTTTTGAGCCGACTCAAAAGCAAGGCGGAAGGCGGTGAAAAACAGGTGGTTCTTTTACGCGCCTCACACAGGTCCTAGGACCTCCCAGTAATGCCAGCCCAGTAAAGAACACGAACGAATAGAATCAAAGGTCATGCTCTGGCATTCAAAATCGGGCAGCAGCAGGAGAACGGAAGTGAGAGGAGTTGGAGGAGGGGAGGCGGGAAGGAGGGAGACCAAGGGGACAAAGAAGAAGAGCAGAGGATTGACAAGGAGGAGCGAAAAGAGTGAAGGTAGGATAGCACTTTTGAGAGCTACTCCCACCACTTCACACCTCGCCCCACCACTTCCTTCCGACCCCTTCCCACCTGGGACGAGAGGTCGTAGTGTCGCTCCCACACCAGGTCCTTCCTCTCGAGCTTGGCAATGATCTCAAGCGGCACTAGGGGAGTGGAGAACACACTTCTGCATTTCAGCGCAGCAACAACACAGCACCGCTCCCCATCCCACCGCACCCCACCACTTCCCACCTCGCCCCACCACTTCCCAACCCGCCCACCTGGGACGAGAGGTCGTAGTATCGCTCCCACACCAGGTCCTTCCTCTCGAGCTTGGCAATGATCTCAAGAGGCACTCCCTTGAACTGCCGCAGGGGCGACTGCGCTGCCCACCCCACCCTATCCCACCATTTCCCACCTCGCCCCACCACTTCCCACCTGGGATGAGAGGTCGTAGTATCGCTCCCACACGAGGTCCTTCCTTTCCAGCTTGGCAATGATCTCAAGAGGCACTCCCTTGAACTGCCGCAGGGGCGACTGCGCTGCCCACCCCACCCTATCCCACCATTTCCCACCTCGCCCCACCACTTCCCACCTGGGATGAGAGGTCGTAGTATCGCTCCCACACGAGGTCCTTCCTTTCCAGCTTGGCAATGATCTCAAGCGGCACTCCCTTGAACTGCCGCAGGGGCGACTGGGCAGCCCACATGCGGCGGGACACCATCTTGCAGAGGTTGAGTGCCCGCTCTGCCAGCCGCGCCCACCCCCTCCTTAGGATGATCTCGAATAGCGCTCTCATAAGCCGACCGGCGGACTGGTGAAGTGACAAGGGGGGGTGGGGAGAGGGAAGGAGAGGAGAGAGGGGGACAGGACAGGCAAGGAAGGGAGGGAGGGAGGGATTGGGACACGATCGTGCACGATCAAGCTTGGGACACGATCGTGCACGATCAAGCTTGGGACACGATCGTGCACGATCTCAAGAGGCACTCCCTTGAACTGCCTCAGAGGCGACTTTTCAGTCGACTCAAAAGTGACTTTTCACTTTTGAGTCGAGGTGACATTTGAGTCGACTCAAAAGTCACCACGATCGTGCACGATTGAGCTTGGCGATGATCTCAAGAGGCACTCCGCTGAACTGCCTCAGAGGCGACTGCGCTGCCCACATGCGGCGAGACACCATCTTGCAGAGGTTGAGTGCCCGCTCTGCCAGCCGCGCCCACCATCGGCTAACTAGACCATCAGGCTGACCACCACTGCTCATCAGACTGTTCGATTAGGATTTCGCTGAGCAATATGAATCGTTTTACATTCGTGAAACTTGTTTAGCTAAGCATTTACTGCATCTTACCTGAGTGACGTAGACCATGTCAGAAACGAGTGAGAGCCCATCCAGCTGCAGCTGACTGATGTACGCCTGGCGAGGAGGGAGGGGGAGGAGGAGGGCGAGGGAGGCAGAGACAGGCAGAAGAGGAAAGGGATTTGAAGTGAGCTGAGTCGATTCCAAGATAGGGCTCCTGAGTGACGTAGACCATGACAGAACAGAAACACGGGAGAGCCCGTCCAGCTGCAACTGGCTGATGTACGCCTGGCGAGGAGCGGAGGTGGAGTGGAGGGATGGGAGGAGGGGTACGGGCAGAGACAGGCAAAAGCGGAGTGGATTTACGAGAGTGTGACTGGAAAGAGAAGAGAAGGGAGACGAGTGAGAGCCCGTTCAGCTGCAGCTTGACTCATGTACGCCTGGAAAGGGGGAGGGGAGGAGAGGAGGGGGATGGGGGGCAGACGAGGCAATTTCAGGGATGCATCTGCAAGGGAAGGGAGACGAGGGAGGGCCCGTCTAGCTGCAGCTGACTGATGTACGCTTGGAGAGGGGGATGAGAGAGTTAGAGAAGAACCCTAAACCCGAAACCCAAACAGCCTCAAACCCAAAACTCCAGCAACCCACCCACCTGCAGCAGCACGTTGATCTTGGCGCTGGGCTCTTCAATGCCCTCCTTCACGGGGATGGGCACTCGCTCCAGCAGCAGAGAGAGAAAGAGGAGAGCGGGAAGCCAAGACCCCCAAACCCAAACCCCGAACACCGAAACCCGAACATGGAGCACCTCACCTGCAGCAGCACGTTGATTTTAGCACTGGGTTCCTCGATCCCCTCCTTCACGGGGATGGGCACTCGCTCCAGCAGCAGAGAGCGAGGAGAGAAGGGGAAAGAAGAACCCCTAACCCTAAACCCCAAACCCGAGCAACCCTCCCACCTGCAGCAGCACGTTGATCTTGGCGCTGGGCTCTTCAATGCCCTCCTTCACGGGGATGGGCACTCGCTCCAGCAGCTTCGCCAGCTCCAGCTTCTCCTCCTCGCGCACGCCCACGTACTTGAACTCTTCGGAAAGAGAGAAGAGGCGGCACAGGTCAATGTCGCCCATCGTGGGCTTTAAGTGCTCGTTGTACGTCGCGATGGTGCCATGCGAGATGTAGTAGAAGGAGGCGATGCGCCCCAGATCAGTCACCTGCAGGGGAGAATAGGAGAAGGGGAGAAGGGGAGAAGGGCAGGAGGAGAGAAGGGAGGTAAGGGAAGTGGGGAATGTGGCCCATGGCAGGCTTTATGGGCAATGGTGCCGGGGGAGATATAGTAAGAGGAGGAGGCGATGCGCCTCAGATCAGTCACCTGTACGAGGAGGAATCGGGACGAGGGACGGGAGGAATGCAAAGGAAGGAAAGATGAGTGAGGAGGGAGAACACATGTTGCCTTGCCCCCATGGTGTTCTTCAAGTGAGGTCAGGGGGCTCTGGAATCAGGAGAGGAGGTGGAAGGGGTGAAGCGGGAAGGTGGGAAGGAAAGAAGGGGAGCAGGAGGGAAGGGGAGGAGGAGGAAGAGTGGCGCGTAACGAGGACAGCACGAGTGGGGTTCCAGGCATCGAGGAGCAATGGCGATTGATATCCGTGGAGTGGAGTGGAGAGACACAGACCACCGCCGGGAGGTTGAGTCGAGTTTTGAGTCGACTCAAAACTCGACGCATCGAGGAGCAATGGCGATATATCCGTGGAGTGGAGAGCCACAGACCACCGCCGGGAGCTTGCTTCGCCTGAAGAAGCCAGCAACGCCTGGGTTATTGAAGTGCCCCGAAAATCGGCTCCCAACTTGCAAATCGTACTTTATGAGGTTGTCGCTTGTTTGGACGCAGAATTCACCTGAAAACGCACCTGGCGGAGCATCTGGGCTCACCTGGAAAACCCCTGGCTTGTGATCACAATTGGTGCACGAGCTCAAAACTCACCTGAAAAGGCACCTGATTTTTGGTGGAAACTCACCTGGAAGACTCCTGACTTGCGGTCGTACTTCATGAGGTTGTTGCGATCCAGCTGCACTGCTGCTGAGTGGATCTGGTGAATAATGGGGAGACAGTAACGGGGAAAAGACAGGGAGTGGAAAGAGCGAGAGGACGGATGAGGTAGGGAACGAGAGGTGAGGTTGTTGCAGTCCAGGTGCACTGCTGCTGAGTGGAGCTGGTAAGAGTTGGGAGATGGTGGAGGGGAAAAGATCGCCGTAGAGGTAGGGAACGAGAGGTGAGGTTGTTGCAGTCCAGGTGCACTGCTGCTGAGTGGAGCTGGTAAGAGTTGGGAGATGGTGGAGGGGAAAAGATCGCCGTAGAGGCAGGGAACGAGAGGAGAGGTTGTTGCGATGCGATCCAGCCGCACCGCAGCCGACTCCGAGTGGATCTGGTAAGACTTGGGGAGATGGTGGAGGGCAGAAAGGGCAGCACGGAGCCGGGGACAGCCTGCTGCTGGGGGGACACAAAGAGATGATATGGGGAAGGAGCGGAGATGTTGTTGTGGTCATGCTTGACCCCTGCCGAGTGCATCCGGCACAGGTGGTGACAATGGGAGGGAGAGGGGAAAGGGTAAGTTTTTTTTTAGTCGACTAAAAAACTTGTTGTGGTCACGCTTGAGCCCTGCCGAGTGCATCCGGCACAGGTGGTGACAATGGGAGGGAGGGCGGGAAGGGCAGGGAAGGCAGACAGGGTGGCGCAAGGAGGGACGGGATGTGGGACACAGAGAGATGAGGTGGGGAAGGGGAGGTCGGATTGCTGCAATCTAGCTGCACCGCTGCTGAGTAGATTGGATCATTGGATCTGGCATTTGTGTTGTGACCATGGGAGGGAAGGAGGCGGTTGGGGGAGGGGTGTAGGGAAAGGTTGGTGGGTTTGCAGGTGGGCAATATGAGCGGAGGAAGAGGAAAGGAGAGGTGGGATTGTTGCACCCAGGCCCAAGTGCACTGCTGCTGAATGGATCTGGCAGGAGTGAAGGGAGGGATGGGGAAGGAGGGGAGGAGAGGAGGGAGGTTGTCGTGCTTCAGCTACACTGAATGGGCCGGGATTCTGCCGTGTGCCTCACAGCCTCATTCTCTAATCAGGTAACTTCTCTCTGGTTCTTACCAGGTCCACCCGTCTCTCCTCCAGCACGGGGTCCCACTCAGACTCCTCTGCTGATATGCCGTACATAGGGGGGGGGTTGCATGCACCCCTTTCACTACTGGCACCACCACTACTTGCACTTATACAACTGGCACGTTCATTACTGCCACCAGTACTGCCGCTCACCAGGTCTGCTCGCCTCTCCTCCAGCACTGGATCCCTCTCAGCGTCATCAGCCGACATGCCGTACAGAGGACGGCTGAGAAGGCACCCCTGTCACTCCTGACAGCACTACTAGCACTTTCACCACTAGCACTACCATCGCTACGACCACCACCACCACTGCCACTCACCACGTCCGCTCGTCTCTCCTCCAGCACGGGGTCCCTCTCAGCGTTGTCAGCCGAAATGCCATACAGTGGGGGGTTGCAAAGGCACCCCTTTCACTGCTGACACTGACATTGGCACAACCGACTATACCGGCATCACTACAAGCACTCTACCACCACCACTGCCACTCACCAGGTCTGCTCGCCTCTCCTCCAGCACAGGATCCCTCTCAGCGTCATCAGCCGATATGCCGTACAGAGGGGGTCTTGCACGTACCCTTTCACTACTAGCACCACTACAGCCACACCCCACTGCTAGCACTCTACAATCACTGACTGCCGCTCACCAGGTTTGCTCGCCTCTCTTCCAACACGGGGTCCCTCTCAGCGTCATCAGCCGATATGCCGTACAGAGGGGGGTTGCGCAGCATGCGGATGTACAGGTACGTGTAGCCCAGCCACCTGGGATTGGGGAGAGAGAGGAGGGAAAGGGGAAGAGGGTTAAGCTGGGGAGGGAGCAGGGGGCGTGCTCGGACAAGAGGGGGGTTGCGCAGCATGCGGATGTACAGGTGCGTGTAGCCCAGCCACCTGCAATTGGGGGGGGAGGAGGGAGGGGGGAGGGGAGGGGGCGGAGGGGTGGGGGGGAAGGGGGAAAAGGGGGCACACATATGAGGGGGCGAACAGGAGTGGGGGGTTGCGCAGCATGCGATGTACAGGTGCGTGTAGCCCAGCCACCTGTGATGAGGGGAAGGGGCGAGGGGGGAGAGAAAGGGGGGCACACATATAACATACAGGAGTGTACAGCAGAGGGGGGTTGCGCAGCATGCGGATGTACAGGTACGTGTAGCCCAGCCACCTGCGACCGGGGGAGACGGGAGGCCGGGAGGGGAAGGGAATGCATGTGAGGAGAAGATTGGGAACTTGCATGGGGTCTCATCCATACTACTGCCGAACAGAGGGAGGGTTGCGCAGCATGCCGATGTACAGGTACATGAACCCCATCCCCCTTGCACCCCCTCACCTGCACGCCTCCCGTGCATTGCACACCGTGCCCAGTACCGCCTCCGCATTGAGACTGTCAGCCAGGCACGACAGCAGCGGCAGATGGCAATACCGCCCACCCCATCCCCCTTGTCCCCACCCCCCCTCACATTTGAGTCGACTCAAAAGTCTCCTCACCTGCACGCGTCCCTCCCGTGCGCTATGGACCGTCCCTAGCACCGCCTCAGCGTTCAGGCTGTCAGCCAGGCGGGACAGCAGCTGAAAGATACAACTGCGGCCATCCCCAGACCAGTAAACCCTAAACCCCGAACCCTCCTGCCAGGCCTCACCTGCACGCCTCCCTCCCGTGCGCTACGGATAGCACCGCCTCAGCGTTCAGGCTGTGAGCCAGGCGGGACAGCAGCTGCGACTCGATGGGAGCTGCTGGTTCAGGTAGAACTGAAGAGGAGGTCGTAGCACGCGAAGCCCAGTGCGAGGAGGCCGTGGCGGGGCGGGAACCCGAGAGAGCAGAGGAGGGTTTACCACGTGCTACGACCCTCCTCTGCTCTCTCTGGTTCCCGCCTCACACAGCCTCCTCGCGCTGGGCTTCACACGCTACCACCTCCCCTGCTCTCTCAGGTTCAGGCAGCGACAGGTAGAACTGAAACTCACCTCCAACCTGATAAACCCTAAACCCCCAACCCTGAACCAAACCTAAACCTTCAGCTCATGCTGCCTCTGCCTTATCTGCTCTACGGAAAAGCTACTGGGTCAGCAGCTGACAGATAGAACAGCGGCCATCCCCAGACAAGTGAAACCCGATTCCCCGAACACCCCTGCCTCTCCTCACCGGCATGCCTCCCGTGCGTTGTGCACCGTGCCTAGCACAGCTTCAGCGTTCAGACTGTCAGCCAGGCGGGACAGCAGCTGTGACTCTATGGGGAGCTGCTGGTTCAGCAGCGACAGGTAGAACTGCAGCTCGCCATGCCCCGTTATAATCACACCCTCTCCATAAGTGTCATACTGCGGCCGCCCCGCCCGCCCCAGCATCTGCATGACGTCTAAGGGGGAGAGCTCCGTCCATGCGCCCTTCTCTGGGTTGTACACCTGAGCAATGTGGAAGGGGGCACCGGAGGAAACACAAAACACATGTGTGGCTTGTGCTGTGTGTTTAGCTGTCGGCACTCCGCTCGCCCCAGCATCTGCATGACGTCCAAGGGGGAGAGCTCCGTCCATGCTCCCTTCTCTGGGTTGTACACCTGAGAGGAAAAGAGAAGAGGAAAGAGAGAGGGACAGGAGAGAGAGGCAGAAGAGAGGGCAGAGCCCGTGAGGCTTGTGTGTCATATTGCTGGCGCCCTGCTCGCCCCAGCATCTGCATGACGTCTAAAGGAGAGAGCTCGGTCCATGCGCCCTTCTCTGGGTTGTACACCTGAAGAGGGGAGGACAAGAGAGAAGCCAGGGAAAAGAGACTGAAGACAGAGTAGCAGCTTTTGAGTCGACTCAAAAGTCACTGAGAGTGGCAGCAGCGAGCACAAGCAGGCCACTCTGGCCTAAAGAAGGGTGTGTGTACCGAGCACTCTAATCATTGTGTCTCACCACGTCTAGTGACTCTGGTTTTGAGTCGACTCAAAAGCGAGTATAAGCGGGCCACTCTGGCCCAAAGGAGGGTGTGTGTACCGAGCACTCTAATCATTGCGCCTCACCACGTGTAGTGACTGAAACGCCACCTGTTTCCACCCATATCATTCCTGAGTGCCCTTGATAATGACTGTGTGGGTCGGGCGGCCGACACCCCATGCGAGAGAAGCAGTTGACACGAGCACCACCGCCAACCACCTTTGCCACCACTACTGCTCTCTGGTGGTTAGCAAGTCTCACCAGCCACACTCCCCCCCAACGTTCTCGTACCTGAGTGCCCTTGATAATGACAGTGTGGGCTGGGAGGTTCACACCCTATGCGAGAGTAGCAGTTGACACAAGCACCACTGCCAAGCACTCCTGCTCTCTCGTGAATTAGTATGACCAGCCACACTCCCCCTCAAACCATACCTGCGTGCCCTTGATAATGACAGTGTGGGCGGGGAGGTTCACACCCCATGCGAGAGTGGCGGTAGACACAAGCACCTGCAGCACGGGCGAAGGGATAAAGGGGGAAAGGGGGAGGGGAGGAGGGAGTTTTAGGTGGGAGCTTCGGGTTTAGGAATTAAGGATTTGGGGACTTGGCATCTCGAGTGAGTGTGTCCAACCGCGCTCCCCTTCTTTCTCCCTCCATCTCTCCACTCCACTCACCTGAACCCCACCATCTCTCTCCCTCTCCCTTCCCCACACTCGCCCCTCTATTTCTCCCCCTCACGCTCTCGCCCTCCCTCCTGCCCCCTCTCTCGCCCCCTCTCTCGCCCCCTCCCTCGCCCCCTCCCTCACTCACCCCCTCCCTCACCCCCTCCCTCGCCCCCTCCCTCACCCCCTCCCTCGCCCCCTCCCTCACCCCCCTCCCTCGCCCCCTCCCTCACCCCCTCCCTCGCCCCCTCCCTCGCCCCCTCCCTCGCCCCATCTCTCACCCTCTCTCTACTCACCCCACCTAGTGTTAAAATTGAGCCTCCAGCAAACCCTCACCTGAATGTGCCCGTCTGCAAACAGATCTCCCTTGTTGCCCCATCCATCCTGTGCTGTTCAAACACCCAACCCAACTATCCCTCACCATTTGCCCACCAATTCCTCACCTGAATGTGCCCGTCTGCAAACAAGTCTTCCACAAGCGTCCTATCCGCCCGGGCCAGCCCGGCATGGTGGATGGCAAACCCATACGGCAGCAGGTCCCTCAGCTCCCCACTCTTCACACTCTCCGCCTCACTCGCCAGAATCCAACTATTTGCCTTCTCCCTCTCCCTCCCTACCCTCCCTTCCAGCTCCCGCCCCCTCTCTCCTCGCCCCACCTAATGTTGAGGTGTAAACCCCAGCCACCCCCTTACCTGAATGTGACCATCAGCGAATAAATCCTCCACAAGCGTCCTATCCGCCCGGGCCAGCCCGGCATGGTGGATGGCAAACCCATACGGCAGCAGGTCCCTCAGCTCCCCACTCTTCACACTCTCCGCCTCACTCGCCAAAATCTCCCTACTCGCCCCATCCTCCTTCAAAAACCGCCCCAGCGTATCCGCAGCCAGAGCCGCGTCCCGCACCGCGCGGGCGGTCTTCCCCGTCTCTTTCCGGGAATGGACAAAAACCAGCACCTGGTGCCGCCCGGCGCACTCCACCACCTTCTCATAACAGATGTCATTCATCAGCTGAAACCGCTGCAGCGGCTTCCGAACGGTGATCCCGATATACTGCTGCGCGAGCGGGCACGGGCGGAACGAATTATCGAAATAAAACAGCCCCTTGTCCAAATCCACGCGCAGAAAAATCGCCACGTCCTCGTAGTTGGGGAGAGTAGCGGACAGCCCGACGAGTCGGATCATCTCCTGCGTGCTTTCAACTTGGCGCACGGTTCGGGCGACGATGCTCTCGAGGACGGGCCCGCGGTGGTCGTGCAGGAGGTGAATCTCGTCGATGATCACCAGCCGGACTAGCTGTGTGTACGTGCGGTCTCCGGCTTTTCGTGTTATGATGTCCCACTTCTCTGGGGTGGTCACTATGATCTGGGGGGAAGGAGGGAGGGATGGAGTGGGAGGGAGAGAGTGAAGCAATCACGAAGCGGACTAGCTGTGTGTATGTGCGGTCCCCCGCCTTGCGCGTTATGAAGTCCCACTTCTCGGGGGTGGTCACTATAATCTGTGTGAGTGGGGCGGGGCGGGGAGGGGAGGAGGGGAAGAGGGATAGAGATTGAGAAGCAGTTGAGGAAGAGTACAGGGGAGAGAGTGAGAAAGACCAGCTGTGTGTACGTGCGGTCGCCCGCCTTGCGCGTTATGATGTCCCACTTCTCAGGCGTGTTCACAACGATCTGTGGGAAAGAGAAAGAGGAAGACAGTGAGGGAGAGAGTGAGGGAGGGAGTGAGGGAGAGTGTGGGAGAGAGAGAAAGAGATTGATCTCCAGTCCAGCGGTGCTCTCAAGAACGGGCCCGTGGTGGTAAAAAAAAATCATCCCCTCGCACCCATACCAACCACCAATTACCACTGCAGCACCGCCCCTCACCTGGGTCTCTTCAATCTGCTGCCGAGTCAGCGAGGCATCTCCAGTCAGCTCCTTCACGCTCACGCCATACTCCTTCAGCCGGTTCCCCAGATTCCCCACCAGTTCCGCCACCAGCGCTTTCATAGGCGCCACATACACAATCTTAAAGCCCGACAGGTCAATACTCCCGTCCTCCCTCCTGTGCAGCCCAATCTCGTGCAAGATCGTCAGCATCGCAACGTTTGTTTTTCCTGCCCCGGTCGGCGCGCAGAGCAGCATATTTTCCGGGGTAAACAGCGCGGTTTCGTAAACCCTGCTCTGGATGCGGTTTAGGGTTTTGGTCTCGCCGAACGCGGGCTGAGCCCACTCGGGCAGGTCGGAAATTTTCACCAGCTCCTCGCCCTTGCCCAGAGGCTTGGGCTTCAGGGCCGGCACGTGGACCTCCTCGTAACCTTTTTTGGGTGCCCGGTACGAGCCTTCGGGCAGCTCGCAACGTTTGTTGGCCATAAGCCAGCTGCCCTGGGAGAAACCGAGGGAATCTAGGTCTAGCATCTGCCGCTGCCCCTTCAACCACCCTCCCCCTCCGCCTCCCCCACCTCTTCCGCCTCCCCCTCCCCCCGCTTCCCCCTCCTCCCCGCCCTTCCCCCCTCTCTCCCCCTTCCGCCCAATCTCCATCTCGTCACCCTCCATCCCCTCCCCTGCTCCCCCCGCGCCTCCCGCGCCCCCTTCGCGGAGCTTCCGCGCCTCCTCGCGTATGCTGCGCTCCAGGTTCCGCTGCCTCTCCTTGGCGGACGCGCGCGTCGCGTGCAGCTGCTCCAGAATCGCGCGCAGCGCGCGGTCCCCCTTCTCCGTCATCTCCCCCTCGATGCGCTTCCGCTCCGCGTCGTCCTCCGCGCGCGCCAGCCGCGTACACCACACAATCTTCAGCCTGTTGCGCAGTAAAAGCTTGATTAGATCGAATTTATCGTAATCCAGAAGCCGCACAAGCTTATTCTCCGCCTCACGCTGCTGCTCGTCCGCGCCCGCGCCTGCGCCCCACCCCGACGCCCCCCCTCCGCCTCCGCCTCCCCCTCCCCCGTCCCCTTCCCCGCCCGCCGCCTCCAGAATCCCCAGCGCCTCCGCCGCGAGCTTCTGGCTCTGCTGCGGGTCGATTCCGCCGCCTGCTGACGTGGCGTACGCCTGCGCGATCTTGCGCTGCAGCCAATAGGCGTCGATGTCCTGTACGCTCAGCCCCTCCTCCTCTCGCTCCTCGTCGTCGTCGAGCGCGCCCGCCATCTGCATTCCGCCGTCCCCCGCGCCCTCTCCGCCGTCTCCGCCTTCCGCGCCCTCCTCCTCCTCCTCGTCCTCATCTTCCTCCTGAATCTCGTCCAAATCTTCATCATCCTCATCCTCTTCCTCTTCGAATTCCACCGCCACGCCGATATCGTCGTCTAGCGCCTCCCCCGCTCCGCCCTCCCCGTCTCCGCCGGCTCCGCCTCCGCCTCCGCCCCCCCCTCCGCCGCCCTGCTCGTAGTCCGTGATGCGCTTCCCCAGCGCGACGAACTCCGCGAACCGCTCGTTCGGCATCGCGTTCAGAAGCTTCTCGATCTCGCGCTTCCGCTCCGGATCCGTCAGCTTGTCGTCTTTAAGGACCGTTAGAACCTCGTCCGCCGCGCCGCGCAAAACGTCCTGCGGCTGGTCCCCGAACTGCTGCTGGATGAGGCTAAGCAGAAGCTCGTACGCGGCGCGCGTCTCGCGCGTCCGCGGGCGGTACATCCCGTCGTCGACCAATGACAGCACCGTGTCCTCCTGAAATCCCGCCCCGCCCGGCCCGCCACCCGCACCGCCGCCGCCGGCGCCTCCGCCGCGCTTCTGCCGCTTGGTCGACTTCTTCCCGAGCAGATCCAAACCGACGTCGCCGCCGGTGCCGGCCGCGGAGGTTCCGCCGGCCGCGAGGGATTTCAGCCGGTCCTTCTCGCGCTTCTCGCGCTTCTTCTTCGCAGCTTCCTCCACCTCCTTGGGCCTGCCGTGGCCGGCCCGGTCGCCGAATTTCTTCATGTCGACGCGGCCCCAGAGGGTTTCCGGCTCGCCCGTCGGCTCGTGCGAGTCGCGCGGACGCGACTCGAGGTTGAGCACGAGGGAGGAGTTGGCGCGGTACTCATACTGCTTGAATCGCGCGAAGGCTTCGGCACCTCCTCCGGGATTCGCCATGGCGGATGTAAGCGGATTTTAAACGCAGCTACTTAAAAGCGCGGCTCTCATACGCAACACTTTTATAAGTGCAGCTAAAACCGATCCTTTCTGTTTTCCCTTTTTTTGGGGCTACCTCTCCCAGTGTGTAAGGAGACCGGCTCTTTTCTTTGTTGCCCTTATTTTCGTAATCCGATATTTTACAAACTTAACAAACGCGATTTTCTGAGAAAAACGACGGCCTCGGCTCTGGTCCACGCAAATTCAAGCGGGTAAAGACGATCGGCACACGAAAATGGAAGACTGCGGCGATTCATACAAAGACCGCTGCAGGCCGATGAATTCCTCGGATCAATACCGAATCCACAGGACGGATTGCAACCTAGGCCCAAGATAGCAGCAACCCTAGGCCCAAAGTTGCAGCAAATGCCCAAGATTGGGGTGACCTAAAATGGCAACCGAGAAATGGAGCCTGTTTGCTAGCTCGATGCTTGGAAGCATTTCCATGGCAGTGCGATGGGTCAAGTGAGCATGAGGTTGTAGGGGACGAGGTTGCGTGTGACCAAGGAGAGTTCCTTGGTGTACAAAAAAAGAACACTGTTATGATGTTTCTTTGATGAGTATCATAATGCTGCTAAGCAAGAAGTCGCATTATACAGCCTCCCACACCCTGGCTGAATTTGAAGTTTCTCTTACACAGCAACTCACAGCCTGTCACAAACCCATGAGTGCCGCCCTGGATTCCATCAGGGACTTCGGGAGCTCCAATGTGACGCAATCTCTTATCATTCACCACATTGGACACATGTTTTAGGATCGCCTCACTGTAACGATAAGATTAGTATTCGCATCTTGTCTTTTCAACGAGCATCAATACCTATATATGACACTGGGATCTCCATGGACCAAGCTGACTATCTGGAGTTTGTATCTTTTGTCAAACTGTATATATTTCATTAGGTTGCTACAGTTTATTAGCCTATATTGGTATTTGCTATTTATACACCTCCCCCTTATGCAATCATCAATTCATTATTACGTGGTATCGAGTAGGATAGGACTCACGCTTCCGATACGCTCTGTCAAGTTATAATATTGTGTAGGCTATAGTGGGGTAGCATATATGGGGTACACATTTCTAGGGTTGCATATTTGTATCACTTCCATTCATAGTTCATTCATTCTCGTTCTCATTTCATCATGGTATCAGAGCGGTCTCGGGTTCGAATCCCGATGTATGCACATGTAGGCCGTTGCCACTGTGCTCAGTCATGGGCCTCCCAGTGTGGGGGGGTGTCAGTAGAGCTACACTGTGAGATCCCCGATCGATCCTAAGGGGGGTTACAGGCGCGTTTGCCTTGGGGGTTATGGGCGCACTAACCCGCTACTGAAACAAGCCCTTTTATCCCAATGGTCTAGTGGTTAGGATTCTGACATGGTATCAGAGTCTTGAAGACAGGCAGGAGGAGTTCCAGTGTCTCGCTGCTGCTTCACCTCATCTCGCGTCCGTACTGCTTACCCCTGAGGGAGACCCGGATGCACTAGACATCCCGACTCCGCGCTCTTACGCGGAGGCCGTAGAGGGTCCCTACTCCTCTCAGTGGCAGGCAGCTATGGATGCAGAGATGGCTTCCTAGAAGTCCACAGGCACCTACGTTGACGCGGTTCCCCCTCTTGGGGCGAACATCGTCAGTGGCATGTGGATCTTCAGGGTGGAGCGGCCGCCGGGCTCTCCACCTGTCTTCAAGGCGCGGTACGTGGCTCGTGGCTTCAGTCAGCGGCAGGGAGTTGACTACTTTCAGACCTTCTCTCCCACCCCGAAGATGACCACTCTTCGGGTGCTGCTACACATAGCCGCTCAGCGTGACTACGAGCTTCACTCCATTGACTTCAGCACTGCTTTCCTGCAGGGGAGCCTGCACGAGGAGATCTGGCTGCGCCGTCCACCTGGCTTCACTGGGACTTTCCCTCCTGGCATCCAGTGGAGCCTCCGACGGCCAGTGCCAGGCACCGCGCGAGTGGCACGACACACTGAGGACTACGCTTGCGGCTCTTGGGTTTGCTCCCTATAATATTGTGTAGGCTATTGTGGGGTAGCCTATATGGGGTACACATTTCTAGGGTTGCATATTTGTATCACTTCCATTCATAGTTCATTCATTCTCGTTCTCATTTCCTCACGCTCGTCCTACTCTAGCCTAGCCCGCCACATGTCGTGCCCCTAGAGCGCCAGCCTCCTAAGAGGCCCCCCATCAGGGTTTTTTTTTTGTTTTTTGTTTTTGTTTTTTTTGTTTGTTTTTTTTTCACTACTCGGATTTCCAGAGCTGTTTTCTAGGGAACTCTGAAATTCAGGGTTCATTATGAGCGTTACTCTGATTTGTCAGAGAAAACTTCACTTATGAAAAATATACTCTGGGCACCCAGTGTACCTATTTTTCTAACTCTGAGTGCCCTCTCAAGTATTGAACCTTGGCCTTCTGCACTCCTACCAAAAAACTACGGCAAGCGTTGTGCTACGCAGTCATCATTAAGAATTCTTACGAACATTATCTATTCTGGTTAACCCACCAATTGGGGGGGGCGGGGGGGGGGGGGAGGGAGGGTCGGTCGAAATGCCTATACCCTGTACAGAGAAAAGTACATCCGCCACAAATATACACTGATCTATCAGAGTAGCTAAAATCAGAACCATGACAAATCAGAGAAAACTTATCCTCCAAAAAACTTACCCAGACACGTCAGAGTGACCCCCTAAAAACCACTCTGATTTTCAGAGAAACAGAGTAATTTATTCTGATAAAAAAACCCCTGCCCCCCATCCCCCCCCCCTAAGAACCACCTTGCCCCTAAGAGCCAGCCAGTCAGCCTAGGCCACCAAACAGCCAGCAGCGTGCACGCCGACAGTGTCAAACTATAGATATGCTATGGCATAATGGGTAGGCTATAGTGGGGTAGCCAACATAGCCTCTTTAGGTTAACCTCTTTAGGTTATGTACTTATACCAACCTCTCGATAGTTTACATCATTCTTGCTTGTTAATTCTTCACCTGGTTTCAGCGCAGTAGGTCCGTAGGACCGTTTTTTTTTTTTTTTTTTTTTTTTTTTTTTTTTTTTTTTTTTTTTTTTACCTAGTGATCGACTATGATTACCACGTTACCCCACGCCCTGCCCTGCGCTGCGCTGTCAGCGCGCGCCCTGCTCTGCCCTGCGGCAGCACCTTGCCCTGCGCCAACGCTCTGCCCTGCGCAAATGCCCTGCCCTGCACCAGCACCCAATGCCCTGCCCTGCCCTGCGCCAGCACCCTGCCCTGCGCCAGCGCCGTGCCTGTTACGAATAAGAAGTGATTGCACTATGAAAGTTGGAGTACAAGTAGGAAACCCTAACTTTGTGTACCCCCTCAAGGCTAGCCCTGTTAAAGTTCTAGCAAGGTTTAGGAGCCATGGCTAGTTAGATCAAGTAAGTTGAGTAGGAGGGGAGTATCGAGCAAGTTGAAAGGAGAAAAGAGTCGAGAGAATGAGGAGTTTCACTATAGAAAGTTGTACAAGATATAGTGAAGGAAAAGGGTGCACCACCTAACATGAAAGCGATATAACTACACTAGGTCTACACTACAGGCAGTTATAGTAATGTATACAATTACATTCTGACACACCCCCTAACTGCCTGCAGTGAAGAACCGTGTGCAGTACACCTCCTGTAGAGGTACACCAAGTGCAAAGAAAGCAGCAACAACATACAAGGTAATAGAGCTAGTTTGTCACCCACTCCATCCCCTCACCCTCCCCCTCCCCCTCCCCCTCCCCCACACACTGCTGCAGGAGCAGCATAGGGGGGAAGAGAGGAGAGGTGGAGGGACGGCTGCTGGTTGGTCTCACACCCGCCACCCCAGTGCCTCTCCTCCGGCTCCCCCACACCCTCACACCCTCCCCCCCAGCAGCAGCTGCAGAAGTGGGAACGAAAGGAGGAGGAGGGGAAGGGAAGCACAACACCCATCACCCCCACACCCGCCACTTCCAGACCCTCCCCCTTGCAGCTACAGGGAGACGAAGGAGAAGGGGGAAGGGGGGGGGAGGGGCCGACGCACGGCCTCCCCGGGCGCCTAAGCAGGCGGTAGAGGGGGCGACGCCTGCCCACGCCTTCCAGGTCGCGCGGCCCCCGAAGGAGCCACGACAGGTGACGGGAAAAGGGGGGGGGGGGGGGGGGTGCACGTGCCCCCGGTGTGCCGCGGCTGGCGACAGGGCATGGCCGGGGCGGGGTCGGGGCCGCAAGTGGGCGGGGCCGCAGGTGGCATCGGGGCCGAAGTGGGCGACGGGGCCGCAGGTGGCGACGGGGCCGCAGGTGGCGGGGCCGCAGGTGGCGACGGGCCAGCAGTGGGCGACGGGGCCGCGGTGGGCGGGGCCGCAGGTGGCGACGAGGCCGAAGGTGGCGGGGCCGCAGGTGGCGACGTGGCCGAAGGTGGCGGGGCGGCAGGTGGCGACGGGGCCGCAGCGGGCGACGGGGCCACAGGTGGCGACGGGGCCGTGGTGGGCGACGGGGCCGCAGGTGGGCGACGGGGCCGTAGCGGGGCCGTAGCGGGGCTTAAGCGGGGCCGTAGCGGGGCTTAAGCGGGGCCGGGGCGGGGCCGTAGTGGGGCCGTAGCGGGGCCTGCTGAAGGGCGGGCGACGACGGGGCCGCTGAAAGGGCGGCAACGGGGCCGCGGAAGGGCGGCGACGGGGCCGAAGCGAAGGGGCCGCAAGGGGCCTGAAAGGGCTGCAATGGGGCCGCTAAGAAAAGGTTAAGAGGCACGCCACGGGGCGTGCCGAACACAGAGTAGCAGCGGAAGCAATGGGGCGGGTCCACAGGTAAGAACCGTGGTCACTTTGATAACCTGTTAAAGTTCAAGCAAGGCTTAGGAGCCATGGCTAGTTAGATCGAGTAAGTTGAGTAGGAGGGGAGTATCGAGCAAGTTGAAAGGAGAAAAGAGTCGAAAGAATGAGGAGTTTCACTATAGAAAGTTGTACAAGATATAGTGAAGGAAAGGG